TCGCCAGAAACTGTAACAAGCCCACGGGGGACATCGCCACAGCTCGGACTCGACTTTCGTTAGTCACGGTTCTAAATCTGAACCAAAGAGTCCAAATCCGGCAAATCGTTTTGAGAAAACAGATTTTTGAAAGAAGTGCCAAACATGGACTGCTTTGCCAGATACAGAGTCGTCACCTAAATGTTTTATTAATGGGAAATTTAGGAAACCCTGACTCGGTGCCAAAAGGCCACGTGTCCGTCATCACCAAAGTTGCCTCGGCTCGGGAACTTGGGTACGATTGGGGAAGGTCACTTCGTGAGCACCCCCGCTCGCCCGGTCATAGACCGGCCTCTACTAACCATGATATCAATTTTTGAAAACATTGCGAGTTCTTATTCCGGTTTATTAGCCTAGGTTACTATATGATGCGCACAGCATACAAGTATAGACAGGGTCGCCTGAATTGGAACGAAACATTTCATGCTTGTTTTTTTTTGAAAGAGGTTTTGCTACCCGCAGGTAGGCTTGAAACATTTGATGATTCACTCCAATTCAAATAACCCAACCTTCACCCACAGGCATTCAGGCAGTTATATCGGATAAGCACATAGCCTTATGGTAAGCATACTATCATGGCATTCACTCACACACATGCAAGGATGCTAAAGCATAAAACTCACCGAGTACTCCAAGCCAAAATAGAAACTATATTAGAAATCAATGCATGATCCTAAGTGTACAGAAATGCCTAATGCAACACATGCAAAATGCAACTATAGTAGGCTCGGCTATTCTAAGATGGCATATGAAATGCTACAACTAACATGTATTCAACTTGGTATTGAAAGTATAATGCAGTTAGTATGATGCGCCGAGCCCGATGCGGGCAATACAGATGAATGATGCAAACATGCTGTCATACTTTATGCTAATTAAAATATGCCCTAATCTAACCATAAAAAAGCGGATAAATAAAAGGGAGAAAGACGTGGGGTTGGAAAACATACATCACACTCATCATACTGTATGCTAATTTAAACATGCCCTAATCTAACCATCGTAAGCGGATAAATAAAAGGGAGAAAGACGTGGGTTGGAAGACATACATCATACTCACCCATACTTATTACAGTTGTGCCCTCACAGAGAGGGTCCGAATAAATATACAGTCCAAATATTACAGTCCCGAATAAAAGAATATTACAGTCCAAAATATTACAAAATCCTAATTAATTAATGAATTAACTAAGAAAACAAATACAACTGGCGTGCAAGCCAGGGACTGCCTTGCTTCTGGTGGATGATGCATGTCCGGATTGTCTTGCGCGGAAATCCACCGGAATGCCCCAATTAGCCTCTGTTTACACCAGTGAACAATCATATTAAAAGCCAAGCCCCAAAACTCGATAAAGGTAAATGGTTGTGTTAAGGTCAGATGACTGGATGTTTGTGTGTGGGGTTTGTGTTGATGAAAAAATTGATGATTCAAAGCTAGTAATTTTTCTAATTTCCTCAGTTTTCTCACAAAGGAAACCCACAGTGAAGTACGACAATGTCATTAGAGTGTTATCCAAAAGCTGAACGGTAGGAGGGCTAGGAGGAGTATGAGGGATTTTGATTCTTTTTTAAGGGAGTATGATTTGATTGACCCGCCTTGTTGAATGCTTAATTTACTTGGTCCAATTTTCAGGAGGTGCTTTGAGAATATGTGGTTGGATCACCCTTTCATTCAAAAAGGATTTTAAAGAGTGGTGGGCGAATTGTAGGATTCAAGAGTGGAAGGGTTTTAAGTTCATGAATAAATTGAAAATGGTCAAATGAAAGTTAAAAGAATGGAATAAAGAGGTTTTTGGTTATTTAAAGGCCAAGAAAAGTGAGATTGAAAAAAGGTTTGAGGTTCTTGATTGTCTTGAATCTGGGGGGAATTTGATGAGGCACTTAGAAAGGAAAACTCGAATTTGAAAAAGTAATCTTTAGAGAATCAGTTCATCAGAGCCATTTACTCGTGATTGTTTTCTATGGAAGGGAATCCTAGAGCAGGGATTGAGGGTCTTGATTGGTGTCCAAATTATGTATTCTTATTCAAGAAGTTCATTTATGTGCTTCCTTTCTAGTTGTTATATCATATATGGTCTCTGATGTGAAAAAACTGTGTGCATATTTTGTATTTCATTTTTCTGCACATTTGTATGGATATATATATCAAATCATTTATCTCCTTTATTTTTTACAGAATCAGACTGGTAGCTGTTGCTACGCAGAAGTTTATTGCAGAGGTTGCAACTGATGCTCTTCAGTATGTTTCTAACTTCTGATAATTTTTTCATTACTGAAGTCTTTTCATTTGAGATTCACCAATAGTTCTATTTACAGGTTCATCGTATACATTTTCATATTTGCACTTCGAATTTTCATTATTTAGGTACTGGTGGTGCGGTGTTGTTTAACATATTTGTTTATTGTAAGTTACCCATCTGCATCTTAATATAGGCAATGCAAGGCAAGGCAGGCAGCTGTAGTCAAGGACAAGAGGGATAAGCAGCAAAAGGTGCTCACATTTTACTAATGTTTTTCTACTTTTCATTTTTTTATTTTTGTATATTTCCAGCTTTTTTTCTTTTTTTTTTTCTTTAGTTTAATCCGATCTCTCTCTCTAATAGGATAAACGTTTAATCTTGACAATGGAGGACCTCTCCAAGGCTCTGCGTGAGGTAAGCACTTTAGTGCTTCAAGCAGTATTGCTATCAAGAGTCAAATTTATGCCAGCCAACCTCAAAATGACAATATCATGTGGGTGTTTGGGAAGTGGGTTTTTTTATAAGTTTTTTTAGTTGTAGGATATTATCGGAGAAATTTTTTTTTGTATTTGGGAAGATAGTTGGGTTTTTTTGTGGTTAGATGTGATGTTTGTGAGAGAAAAAGTAAAATGATTATAGGGTT